AGGAGGAGGAGGAGGAGGAGGAACAGACAGACTTGGAGATTACACACAAGGCACTAAAAGGTCATTTACATGAGAATGGAGATTCCACATGGAACTAACTTGTCCACCAGTTTCTTGGGTTGCTTCAACTTAAACGGAGGGCTCAGATATCTCACTGTGCCATTCCTTAAAGAAAAACAACTACTTAAGCTCTGACTAAACTAATTTGAATTAACCCCTTTGAGAAAGTCTGGAAGGCCTTTGAGACTGGAGGACAGCAGGTAAGAACATAATTAAATTGGCTCTAGAGGTAGAAGTGAAGTTTCTACCAGGAAGTTTCACTTCCTGGTAGAAGTGGGTGTCTAGTAGAAGTGGGTATATGTACATTCTGGCCTATACCAGGGCTTTACAACCGGGACTTATTTGGGGTGAGATTTTTCTTCATGGGGGCTGTTCGGCACACATTACAGGTCACATTTCAGCCCCCGTGGCTCTTGTTGCCTATGTTGTCAGTGTCCCTCTTTAGTTGTGACAACAAAATATGTCTCTCACTATTGTTGCCCAAGTGTCAGAATTGCCCCTGCAATATAACTATGAATCTATGCTTGAGATGACTGATTTTTAATAGAACAGTTGAGAAGCTGATAGTGGAAGCATCAGGGGTCACAGATTCAATGAAAGAAAAATTGCTCCAGGAAATGGAAATGAGTATTTTCCTTCTCTATTACTTTTTTACTTTCTTTCTTTTTTCTATCATTCTTTTTTTTTGGGGGGGGGTCCAGTCGTGGGGCCTGAACTCTGGGCCTGGGTGCTGTCCCTCAGCTCTTCAGCTCAAGGCTAGCGCTCTACCACTTGAGCCACAGCGCCACTTCCGGCTTTTTTCTTTTTGCTTATGTGGTGCTGAGGAATCGAACCCAGGGCCTCAGGCATGCAAGGCAAGCGCTCTACCACTGAGCCACCTTCCCAGCCCCTCTTTCTTTTTTCTGTCTTGCTTGTTCATTTATCTGTCTTTGGGAAGGTAGTGGGGGAGCACAGAAATGGAGGGAAAAGGGTGAACAAATGCAGCAGTTGGTACTCAGTAGACACTGTGTTGAAAAGGAGCTATACAACTTGTGGGTGGGAACGGGAGGGAAAAACTGGGAGAGAGCTAAGGAAGGGGCAACACTGTCCAAAAAACATGCACTCGTTATCTGACTTAGGTAACGGTAACCTCTCTGTACATCACCTATTTCTAGTATCAATAGAAAATAAAAATAAAACTTCACCCCCTTCAAAATAAAGGACAAAATTGACAAAATCTATAACAGACCGATTCATTGCCATTGCATATTTGCCAGGTAGATCCACATGGTATTTTGCTCTTGTTTTAGACAGTAATTTTTTACGCGATCACGTCCCGCACTGAGAACAGAAGCAGACCCCAGTTGCATCTTGCTGACGCCCTCTGCCCTCACAGGACCCCAGCATCTTCCGCTTGTATGGCCGCGCCACTGCCAGGTCACACGTTCTCATAGACCCAGGGGAGTACTTTCCTGAGATCTGTGAAGATCCCTGGGGACCCCTGCCTTTTTTTCTGCCTATTATTTCTCCAGTTTCGGCCACAGCCCAAACCCCAAGAAGTCACACCGACCAGAGTCCAGGTTCCTTTCTTATTCGGACACACGAGTGAACCTCCAGAGTCTCCCTACAGAAGTGAGGGTGGGGGTGGGGGAGAAAGAAAGAAAACCTTCATCACCCTCATTACCAGTGTCTATGCCCCAACCAAAGTCCTCCCCCCCACCCCCAACAAGGATGCTGGATGCAGATCAATGGCAGGTCTCTCCGGTCTAAAAATCTAGTTTCAGAGGTCTGAAAGGACAAGCAAGCGCCATTCCTCTAGGAACAGATACCACTGGCCCCTGCTAATCCCAGTTCCCTCTCCCCTAGCCTAAGCGATCACCACAACTACCAAATTTCTTCCCTTCCCAGTCTCGTGCTGTAGAATCAGAGCTAACTGGTCAGTGATCAAATTGACTAGCTCAGGTTTACAGTCAACAGGAAGAGTGGAGAGAAAGTTCCTACCATCTGCAAACTAGAAAAAGAGCCAGACACCCCTGTGGGACTGGAACACCCCCATGACCTCATTCTTGGTGCTCTCTCTGCTGCTGTGTAGTCTTTTTTTTTTGCCGGGGTGGTGGGGGGAGAGTGGGAGAGAGAAGGGAATGGGGAATCTCCTCTGAAGTCGTACGTCACGCTTTAAACCCATTGTTCAAATGCTCCTTTTACTTGGACTTGACTTTCCCCACTTACTTCTGACCCCTCTTGCCACACTTGAGTTTTAGATGGAATCTGCCTTCCTTCAGCCCCTCCACTTGCTAACAAACCCGCCAGCCAGGCTATTCCTACTGACCTGACACGCGTCTCGCCCTCCATCCGGAGAGCCCGTGCAGAGGAAGGTGTTGCCCGTAATGGGCTTCTGCAGGGTCAGCAGAGCTGCGGTGCACTCCTTCTGGGGCAAGATCGTCAAGTTTACCTCATGCAAGACTTGTGGGAAATTGCCACCTGGAAGACAGGGATGCGGATCCGGGAGCACCCTCAGTTTACCTATTCTGAGATGGAGATGCCCCCATTTATCCTCACCAGCTGCACAAAGTTTTGTGTCTTTTGGGAAAGACCTACACTTCTTTTGTGTGTGTGTGTGTGTGTGTGTGTGTGTGGACAGATAACAATGCTATGCCTTTATTGATAGATGATAAGTGTACATTTCTAGGAAGCACAATGTACTATGGGATTTATTTTTATTTATACATTTATTTGTTTGTTGATTGTGGGGCTTGAACTCAGGATTTGGGCGCTGTCACTGTGATTATTTTGCTCAAGGCTAGTGTGCTACCACGTTGAGCCACAGCTCTGCTTCTGATTTTTAGGTGGCTAATTGGAGATTAAAGTCTCATAGACTTTCCTGCTGGTACTAGTTTTGAACTGTGGATTCTCAGATCTCAGCTGCCTGAGTAGCTACAATTACAGATGTGAGGCACCAGCACCTGGTCAATGTAATGTTTTGATACACTTACACATCATGCATGGATCAACTCGAGATACTTCAGGCTATCCATCATTTCAGCATTTACCATTTCTTTGTGAAGAGAACTTCCAAAATCTCCCTCCAAACTACTTGGAATTAAATACTGTATAACTACTGCTTGTATAGTAGAACCCTGAAACATCTTCCTCCTATCTGACTGGAAAGACCTACATTTCTAAGAACAGTGAGACATACTCTATCTTTCAAAGTATGTGCACAGCTGTTTGTTTTTTTTTTAAGTTAAAAATTCCAATTTCTGAGTACCTGTCAGAAAGTTCGGTTAAGAGGAACGGCACAGGAGTTCTTACCTTCTGTCAAGCGGCCCCAGCCTGTAGTTGTACAAGTAAATCCAGCCTTAAATTTCTCCCCTGGCTCCGGAAGACACATGGGCCCCACAAACTGGCCTGAAGGAAGATCAGGGCAGGACTTGTCTCAGGAATGGAGGAGTCACAGAACCCGCCCCTCCTCCCCAGTTGACCCCAACAACATTTGGCTGGCAACTCTAGTGGTCACCCAGAGCCCTCTCTCCAGACTCCACATAATCCTCTACCCAGAAACACAAGCAAATGGAGTTTCAGGTAGGGGACTTGCCAGCTCAAATCCATGAATCAGGGCGCATGTTCTAAACAACTGCATTTGTGCTATGCAACATGAACTGCAGGGGAGGTTCTGTGGGCCAAAGGCTATGGGGAATATGAAGTATTCATATGAAATAGACAATTCAAGGTGCACCTTAAATGTTTACCAAATTGGAAGGTTCCAGCCATTTTCAGAAGAGCTATATCATAGTCCATTGGTTTCCTGATGGAGAACTGTGGATGAATGATGGCGGTTGCAATGGCCAAGGTTTGCTCTCCGGGATCTGTCTGACTCAAGTCATATTCTCCGGCAGTCACATTTAGAGCTGATGCGATGCTTCTGTGAAGTGGGGGCAGTGAAATGAGGGATGTCAATCAGCCTCTGAGTACCATTGTGAATGTTGACATGGTTCTCTTCCAAAGGACATGGATGGATAATGTGGTGTGTGAGGCTACTGAGCAGAGAAAGTGCAAATGATCCAATGCCATTTGAACAAGTGCAGATTTCTAATTCCTGCTGAGGACAAGGAAAGTGTGGAGCTAATGACTGGATAAATTTAACAGTTTGCAGTGTTATTTGTAATCATCTAGAAAGGTTACTGTACTCCACGATCCTAACAGCTAAAGGAGATGTTATTAAACTAACCCCCAGAAGTTGGCCAAGTCATAATAACAGTAATGGTTTATGACGGGAAATGATACGTGAGTCTCAGTAAGTCTGCTGCTTTAAGGTCAAAGTGCTATGAAGAACAGCAGCTGCAAACTTGTCCCAGGAGCGTAAATACATACTCAGGGATTTGACACCGATGCCAATTATGGAACATTGGAATCTTCTCCTTACCATTTTTATGTTTGCAATTTAGAAATAGCACATGACATGGGAAAGACATGGCCCTCCTGGGCCATTGCTATCTCTTCTTTTTGTTTTATATTTTCTTTTCTTTTTTTTGGGGGGGGGTCCGGTTGTGGGGTCTGAACTCTGGGCCTGAGCACTGTCCTTCAGCTCTTCAGTTCAAGGCTAGCACTCTACCACTTGAGCCACAGCACCACTTCCAGCTTTTTTCTTTTTGCTTATGTGGTGCTGAAGAATTGAACCCAGGGCCTCAGGCATGCAAGGCAAGCGCTCTACCACTGAGCCACCTTCCCAGCCCTTGTTTTATATTTTCTATTAGTGTGTGTTGATTGTACAGAGGGGTTTCATTGGGATACTTCCACACATGCATCTAGTGATCTTTGGTCAAATCCACCTCCTCTATTACTCTTTCTCATCATCCCTCTCACCACACAATGTGAACAGGTTTCATTATTCTATTTTCACACATGCAATTTGGTAGGATGGATTAAGATGGATTAAGAGCTTTAAACTTGCTCTTGATTTCTAGGCATGAAAGTTCTATATAAAATTGGAAGGAGCATGATTTGTCTTGGTATACTTTTTTGAAACTTGGTTCTGATAGGTACCTAGCCTAATACATTAAATCACTCTAGTCTACATCTGTTATTTTACAATGACATTGTCAACCAATCCCTTCCTCCCTCCCTTCCTGAGTTTTTGCTGTCTTTTCTCTCTCCTTCCTTCCTTCCTTCCTTCCTTCCTTCCTTCCTTCCTTCCTTCCTTCCTTCCTTCCTTCCTTCCTTCCTCTCTCCCTCCTTTTTGTCCCCCCCTTCTGTCAGTCCTGGGGCTTGAACTATTGGCCTGGGTGCTGACCCTGAGCTTTTGTACTGAAGGATAGTGCTCTATCACTTAAGCCAAATCTTCACTTCCAGTCTTTTGTGGTTTATTGGCGATAAGTTAGAAAAAAGGATCTCGGGGATTTTCCTGCCCTGACTGGCTTTGAACCATGATCCTTAGATCTCAGCCTCCTGAGTAGCTAGGGTTACAGGCATTCTACTTGTTCACCTATTTAAGAGACAACACCTCATTAGTTTTCAAATGCTGGCCTGAAACTACTGGACCTGAGCAATTTTCCTGCTTTTGCCTTCAAAGCAGATGGGGTGACAGTTCACTATGCCCAGTGAACTTTCATTTTAAACTATCAACTTTCTGGGGGTATAAATCATGTCTTAGTCATGTGGAAGGTCTTTACCACCCAATATCTGGTACTAAATAATTATTTAAAGAATATCTTTAGACTTGGAAGAAAAAAATAGGGCAACAAATCCTCAGTCATAGCTTGGTGTATCACAAAAGTAGATAAAGGATGGAATTTGGTAGGTTGAACCTTAGATCATTATGAGTAAGAATGAATATGTCAGGGCCTATTATATTTCACAACTCTGCTTTATTTTCTTTTATACACTTTCGTGCTGGTAATGAGGCTTGAACTCAGGGCCTTACATTCTTGTTTAGCTTTTTTCCTCACTACTGACACTCTACCACTTGAGTCATGCCTCAACTTCTGGCTGGATAACTGAAGATGAGTCCCTCTGATTAGTCTGCCTGAACTGGCTCCAAACTGCTATTATGTCTAGATATCAGCTTCTTGAGTAGCTAGAAGTATAGGCTTGAGCTTTTCTGTCTCGTAAGATATACAGTACCTGGGCACTGGTGGCTCATGCCTGTAATCCTGGCTACCCAGGAAGCTGAGATCTGGAGATTGTGGTTCAAAGCCAGAGCAGCAGGAAAATCGTGAGACTCTTATCTCCAATTAGCCACCAGAAAATGGGAAGTGGTGCTGTGGCTCACCACCTAGGCACTGTGGCTCAAAGTGATAGAAAGCTAGCTTAGGGACAGCGCCCAGGCCGTGAGTTCAAGTCCCATGACTTGGTGGGGGGTGGGGAGAGAGGCTATACAGCAAATAGGATACATTTCCACTGAAACTTATGAAACGGAGTGAAAAGTTTCATAAACCAAATTGTGGTGTTTTCAATATCCAGGTGTCCCCATGTGGATATTAGTCTTCTTTTAACTTCAATTATTTAAAAATAAATATTTCACTTCTGCCAAGAATATATATATATATATATATATATATATATATATATATATATATTTGACAGTGTTGAGAATGATCTGACCATGTCACCAGCCCCCACTGTGTCATGCAATTGAGAGCTTCCTCCATGTTTGTATCGAGCTACTCCTGGGGCTTCCAAGGGAAAGAAAGAAACCAGCTGTTCCTTCCTTACCTGTGTGCAATGCAGTGAGCAGCTGTGACCACCCACTGTGGAGAGATGATGGTTCCTCCACAGATGTGTTTGTGCCTTTGTTTCAGAGATACCTGGATTGCAAAGACCATACGTTAGTGCAAGTTAATGCTCTAGGATCAGACCCCTTTAGTTTACCTCTATTTTATCATGATTTATGGACTATGGCAAGGAAAACTTGCACAATGAAGCTCAGAAGGAAGAGCAATGCTGGAAGTAGCATTCCTAGCCTTGGAAGGAGGTGAGATTGTCAAGTAGACATGACATAATGATTGCAGTAGAGTTAACAGTTAGATGCCTTGATATCTGTTTTGATAATAATAGTGACTTCTATCTGTGGCTCTGATGATATGAACAATATCTGTGAGTGAAGAAAAAGGAACAGGAACTACATCAGAGTCCAGTTGAATAGATTTGGAGAGAAAGTAAGGAATGAGATAGCAATGCTTCAATCCTGGCTCCTTTTCCCCCAAATCTCTTAAAAACATAGGTTTTTACCTGCCATTAAAAAATAAATACCTTATTTTTGTATTAATATATGTTAATAATACAAGGAAATTTCACTGAGATAACTCCAAAGATATGTACAGGGTACTGCGAACAAACTCACTTCCTCCATTATAGTCCCATAATTCCTCACTTCCTCCATTATAGTCCCATAATTCCTCCCTCCTCTTCCCCTCTTCTAACAGTGTTTTGTGGGAATTGCCATGCTAACTTCATATATGTTACATACATATATGTTATATACTTTGATCTTATTCACCCCTCACTATCCTTTCTATTTCTTTCTCCCTCCTGATTTCCTCAGGAGGGGGGACCCCTTCTTACATTCCTGTTCCATTATCATCATTGCCATCATCATCATCATTACTAGAATCATTTCTAAATTTTCCAGTTTATTTGGATACAGATTTTCAAAATAATAGCCCTTTATATGCTTTAGAATTTCATTGATATTTGTTTTGATATCCCCATTTTCATTTCTAATTTTATTGAATCTTTCCTCTCTTCTTTGTCAGATGGGTTGAGGGTTTGTCAATCTTATCTATCTTTTCAAATAACCAACTTTTTGCTTCATTTATTCATTCTGTAGTTTTTCTCTCTATTTCATTTATTTCTGCTCTAATTTTTCATTATTTCTTTGCATTTTTGAGTTTCTTACTTGACACATTTATGCTAGTAATTGTTATTTCTGCTTGATGTATTCTTTATTACTATGAGGTGACCTTTGTCTCTTCTGACTTTTATTTGAAGTCTGCTTTATAAGATATAAGTAAAGCTATTATCTGCTTTGGGGTTCATTTGCCTAGAAGATATTTTCCTTCTTTTTTATCCCATGTCAATGTGTTTGCGTTTTTATTTCTTTGGTTTTTTTTTCTAACACTGGAGTTTGAACTCAAGGCTTCATGTTAGCTGACTGACAACTTAAGCCAGGTCTCTAGCTTTTTGCTGGTTATACTAGAGATATAACCTTCTGGACATTTCTGCCTGAACTGGCTTTGAACCATCATCCTTTGGAGCTCAGCCTCCTGAGTAGCTGGTATTACAAGCATAAGCTCTGGCACCTGTTGAGATTTGTTTCTCAACAGATAGGTTACAACTGGTCAAGTCTTGATTTTTAATCCTGTTCACCATTCTATGCCTTTTGTTTTCTGATTGTGGGGCTTGAACTCTGCCCCTGAGCCGGTCTGTGCTTACTTGAGCCACAGTACCACTTCTGGCTTTCTCTGAGTAGTTTATTGGAGATAAGAGTCTCATGGACTTTCCTGCCCTGGCTGGCTTCAAACCATGAACCTCAGATTTTAGCCTCCAGAGTAGCTAGGCTTATAGATATGAGCCACAGCGCTCAGCTCTTTCTATGACTTTTGATTAAGGAATGAGATCATTAACAATCAAGGTTAATAGTGAAATGTCAGTAATTTAGTTACTAATCTACTCACTTTGTAAGGATTGTTCTTTTTAGTATTTTCCTGGTTGCATCTACCTGCCTCAGCTGGGCATAATATTCCTTGAAGTATCTTCTGCAGTGCCTCCTTGTTGTCATAAATTGCTTTTGCTTTTGTATACCTTGGAAGGCTTTCATGTCTGCTTTAGTTATTAAGGATAGTTTTGATGGATACACTATTTAGGTTGCCAGCACTTAAAGTCTGTGTTGAGAAAATCTGTTATTATGAAGGATTTTTTTTTTACGTGACTTGTTGCTTCTCTTCTCAGCATTCAACCTTCTTTCTTTGTCCTCTATATTTAGTGCTTTGATTTTAATATGATTACGGGTGTTTCTTGTCTGATTATGTCTGCTTGTGTTCTGAAATCTTCCTGTGCCTGGGTGGCACTTATATGTTTTCTGTACTCTCTTATCCTTCTTTAAACTTTTGGTGATATCCCAGAGGTGTTAAAATAAATGTAAATACCATGAGGGTAGGGCCAGAGACATTACCTTGGCATGGAAATTCCATGCCAAAGGAAATTCCATGCCAAGACATTAATTTGAGGCAGAATTTCTAGGATATTAGCTATTAATGATGTAGCACATTCTTTGCTGGGTCCTATGGAATATGTGCAAACCTGACACCACAAACACAAAGTACATTCATGGATGTGAATTCTCTGGTCTTTTTTTTCTTAACTATAAAAATAAAATATAGTATATTTTAAAATATACTTTGAATCAAAATGTTTTATTTATTTATTTATTTGTTGGTTATGGATTTGAACTTGGGGCTTGGGCACTGTCCCTGACCTCTTTATTCTCAAGGCTAGTACTCCACCTCTTTGAGCCACAGTCCCACTTCTAGTTTTCTGGTGGTTAATTAGAGAGAAGAGCCTCGTGGATTTTCTTGTCCAGGCTGGCTTTGAACCACAATCTTCAGATCTCAGCCTCCTGAGTAGCTAAGATCACTGGGGTGAGTCACCAGCCAAATGTTACTTTTTAAATTAATAAATTCAAAATATTTTCAGCTTTTTGGAATGATATTTCTATCTTAGGAATTGAAAGCTTGCAATAACACTTCCAGTTTGTAATACAAGCCAATAACAAATGTTGGCTGTTTCAATCATCTTTTCTGGAACTTAATTGATGTACATCATGAGATAATCGAAGCATTTTATGTACTAATGAGATGATTTGTGAAGACATAAGTAGAGTGGAGTCCTAATTAGTAGCTTGTGACTTGTGTAGAATTAGTTCTTTGTTTGGGTGGATAGTTTTTTATTGTTATTTCAAAGATGATGTACAGAGGGGTTACCATTTCATAAGTCATTTAATGAGTACATTTCTTTTTGGGTAATGCCATTCCTTCCTTCATTCTCTCCTAGTTTTTCCCTCCCATCCCCACTCACAAGTTGTATAGTTCATTTTCAACATAGTGTCTAATGAGTACCACTGCTGAATTTGTTCACTTTTTTTTTTGGTCCGGTTGTGGGGCCTGAACTCTGGGCCTGAGCACTGTCCCTCAGCTCTTCAGCTCAAGTCTAGCGCTCTACCACTTGAGCCACAGTACCACTTCCAGCTTCTTTCCTTTTGTTTATGTGGTGCTGAGGAATCGAACCCAGGGTCTCAGGCATGCAAGGCAAGCGCTCTACCACTGAGCCACCTTCCCAGCCCCAATTTGTTCACTTTTTGTCCTTTCATTTCTGTGCTTTCCTTTCCTTCCCCTCCCCATAGAAAGATAACCCAATTCTGAGACCTCTCCTAGCCCACCTACTGCAGAGACTCACCTGCCAGGGATAGGAACCCTTCTCCACTTGGCTTCCTCCAACAATGCGACTGAAAAAGTTATAGTAATTCCAAGGCTGTGTTTTATCCAGACTCTGACCACAATTAGGAGCTGGGATGATGACAAGACAACATCAATAAGTAGCTAGTTTCTAGGACTAAGAGACATGGTAACTCTGAGCAAGGTAAAGAAAAAAAGTACTGCAAGTTGTAGAGAATATAGAATAATCACAAAATGGGTTGAATTCATGAAAAGTTTTGGAGGTTTGTTTTACATAAGATTTCTTAGTTTTTGTCATGTAAAAGAGGCATATCATGGTGAGGAGGAAAAGTGAGAGAAAACAAGATAGTCGGTCACAATGTTTGACATGAAATGTATTCATTATCTTACTTATGTAACTGTAACCCCTCTTTACATCATCCTTACAGTAAAATAAAATTAAATAAAAAAGAGAGTTTCCTGTTATGAAAGATAAGAGCTTAGGGTTAGAGTTGGCACTATTATCTCAATTGCAAAGGCTTCTATGATTTCTTCAAACTGGGTCGTATAAAACTCTTCCACGCTCTCTTCTATTGTTCTTACCACACTTGCCTATGCTAGTCGATCATTTATCTCTACCATCAAGCTGTGAATTCCTTGAATAATAAAACCCATGTCTTTATGAATTTCTGTATTTCTAGGGTTTAGTGCTATTCCTGGCATACACTAGGCACTTAATGTCTAGTACATCTCACTGTTGCGATGGGTGAAACTGTATCCTTATTTAAACAATTTGTTTTTTTCCTTCCACTCCTCAAATTATACCAACAGCAAATACAGTATAAATAGGGGTTATACCGTGGGGGAGGGACATACAACACAACAATGCTTGATAAGAAATGTACTTATTACCTTGCTCATGTGATTGTAACCCCTCTGTACAGTATTTTCACAATAAAAACTTATTCTTACAAAAAGAACAAAAGTTCAAGGACATTGCTCAGGCTCTGAGTTCAAGCCCCAAGACCAACACACACACACACACACACACACACACACACACACTACAATTAGCTGCCCCAAATAGACAAGTTTTCCTCCTTTTCTCCAAGGAATAGAGGGGAATTGTGATTTCCTTCTCAGCAAAGATGTGTCCATCAGGCAAAGTAGTTATAAAGTTCATTTAGACTTACCTTTGGGAAGAGAAAGAGCTTCAGATTTGTCTTGTTCCAAAAAAATAAATCCTAGTAGTAAGATCAGCTGGTTCCTGCTTATAGACATTTTGGGATCCAAAGTTTCCTCCTGAAATTTTAGAGAGACTAAGGAGGAAAGAAAATACAAGGCCTGGCGAGACCAACAATACACCAAATTAAAAAAAAAAGTTCATTCATTAGCCAAGACTTGAGCCATTCAACCATGTCCTATGATATTTCTGAATGTGATTTCTTAAAAATACCTTTTGTAAGATGTGGAGTCAAGCCCAGAAGAAAATTTTTGATCAAGCCGCATCACAAATCCCATTCCACCTACATCAATCAGTTACTTTGGCCAGTGTTTCTGATCAGCAAAGTGGTTGGTGTCTATGATTTCCATTTGCAAATATTACTTCTCCCTTTGTAGAGGTTAATACTTGCTATACAAGAATTGGAAAGCAATGCTGTCCTTGTTTGTAAGGATTGTTTTACTTATTTGCAAACATCATATTATATTAAAACATGTTCTTTCTCTTCTTTTCTGACTGTAACTACATGATTGTTATGCCATACGCTGGAGAAGGAAAAGAGAGGGAAGATAATTAGCTAGCATGCCCACGAAGTCATGCTAGCATGCTGTCATTTAGGATGCTCTCCATTGGGGTGTTTATGAGTCTGTCTTCCCACCCTTCTAAATGGCAAACACTAAATCTTCACTTCTCTAACTGGCATTTGTCTAGGCACAAGAAAGTGGCTATGATTTCTTGTAACTCTTCCTTTTTTTCCTGACACAGCGTTAGTGTATAAGAAAAGCACATGGATTGGCCATGCCCTATAACCATATTAAACATGAGATTTTCCTGGAAAATATCTCCAAATTACCTGCTCACAATATCAAATGTCAAACTAGAAGTCTCCAGCTTCCTTAGGGAAATTTTGATTTTTACAAAACAAATCTATAAAAAAAAGAAGACATAAAAATAATAAATGAAACACTAAACACCTTTAAAACTTAGTTTGCATGTGGGGTCCAGTGTCTCACACCTTTTACTGTAGTTACACAGGAGGCTGAGATCTGAGGATCACTGTTTAAAGTCAGCCTCCACAGGAAAGTCTATGAGACTCTTATCTCCAATTAACCACCAAAAAGCCAGAATTAGAGCTGTGTTTGAATGAAGTGGTAGAGCACTAGTCTTGGGTGTAAAAAGGTCAGTGACAGTACCCAGATGCTGAGTTCAAGCTCCAGAAGTGGCACGCATGCATACACACATATATATGTGTGTGCATGTGCAAGTACTGCATGTTTTGAGAACACTTACAGAAAGCAGGAAAAACAATCTCAACTGAAGCTTTCCCCCTTAAACATGTTAGTACAGATGCCAAACATTTGAGGTTGTTAATTTGAGGGTGATGTGAACTTCAAGAAATATGTAATTTATCAATATCTAAGCCATTAACAAAATATCTTTCTTAGACAGAAAATCTTCTTGAACTTCTTATCATCTTATTTGAATCAGTCTGCAAAACAACTAGTAGCTTTACTGGCTCCAAAATTCACTATAACCTGTGTAAATTTTGAGTATTCCTAATACCATGAGTGCTAGAAGAGAGAGCATAGTTCTGGGATGTGCCTAGGTTAATTAGCCTGAAGTATACTTTGAAGCTCATTGAAAGCTTTTGATCTGCTGTTGATCTAGTATCATAAATTCTAAATAAAAAATGAAGCATCTTCTCTTGTCACAGTGAGATATTTTTTCCATTTCCTGGAGTTCAGTTCAATAAATATTATTGTATATGATCAGATAGACATAAGTATTGCACCTTTGTGTTCCTCTCCTAAGAATATCCTTCTTTGGTCCCACTGTTGTGAATGCCTAGAGATTTCATATACCAGTGTATTTATTTTTGCCATCCAGTGTGTTTATAGATTTATAGGCACATTCTAGCTACCACACATGAGGGGTAACATGCAATCTATGTTTCTTTGGGTCTGGTTTACTTCACTTGATATAATTTTGTCCAAGTCTTTCCATTTCCTTGCTAATTCTACAATATCATTCTTTCTGATGAATGAGTAGAATTCCATTGTGTATATATACCACATTTTCTTGATTCATCCTTACACTGAGGGGCATCTGGGCTGATTCTATGTATTAATTATCTCATAGAAATATGAGGAAATCTTGCTCATCCCATAACTCCCAAGAGAAAACCTTTGCTTCATGCTTGTGTTTGAACATATTCAACACACATCTTAATGTGGTTGTCAGTAGGCATCAATATCTTCAAGCACAACATGAAGAAGGGCATCAAGAATCCTATAAAATGATATGTATTCAAATGTTTTTTTCTTTCATGCATTTGTTTCTAACGCATTTATAAGATTATTTCTTTGTTGCTTTGTATGTCCCTCCCCCACACTATAACCCCTGCTTTCACTGTATTTGATGTTGGTATAATTTGTGGAGGGGAAAGGGAAAAACAAGTCATTTAAATAAGGATACAGGTGGACCCGTTGCAACAATGAGAAGTACAAGTTGTCATATCAAAAACGAACTTTACAACTTTGGTGTGTGTGTGTGTGTAGGGAGGATTGGGTGGAGGGAGGCTGGGAAGGGATGGGAAGGGGAAACAAAGGAGGAGGCTACAATGCTTAATAAGAAATGTACTCATTATCTTGCCCATGTAATTGTAACCCCTCTGTACAGTATTTTCACAATAAAAAATAAATAAAAATTAAAAAAAGAATCCTATAAAATTTAAGAAAATTGTGTGTGGGGGGGAAGAATTGGGAGGGAATTGGAAGAATAAAAAAAGGGATGAAATTGATCGAGATGAATTAGGTTCATAAACTGATTTGTTGAATAGTAACTTCTTTGTAAAATGACTACCAGGTCATAAGATGAGAAGAGTTTGGTATTCTTATCTCTTGAGATGGTAGACTGTGGTCTCTGGATCCATTGCAACAATGAGATATACAAGATGTTATGTTGAAAAATGAGCTTTACAACTTTGGTGTGGGGGGGGGGAGGAGAGGGGGGAGAGGGGCTGAACAGGGAGATGGGAAATGATGGGAAGGGGAAACAAAGGAGGAGGCAACAATGCTTGATAAGAAATGTACTCATTACCTTGCTCATGTAATTGTAACCCTTCTGTATGGTATTTTCATACACACAAAAATTCAAATAAAAAAAGAAAAAGAAGAAAAACATTCTTTTGTAAGCATGTGTTAGGTTCCAAGTTATTAAGTTTCCAATTGGTCACCTATCTAAGCCTTCCAGAATCTCAGGGGCAATAAATTGGGTGTTGTAGGCACTTGGAAGAAGGAATATGTTTTTACATGAGACTGCAGAAACTTTTTTCAGGGAGGAAGGAAGGTAAAATCTCTCTTTGGAATTTTGTACCGAAGATTATAGGATATATACTGTATATACAAGTATACTGTTCTATTATCTGAAAATCTCCAAGTTGAGAAAATTATTATCAAGATTTATCTGGAACCAGTGATTCAGGAAGCTGGTGGCAGAAGAAAGCACAAGGACATCTATCATAAAGCAGATGCATATCATCAAGGATTCCAAATAACAGCATGATTCCATAGACATTTTAAGAAAAAAGCTTGAAATAATAGATCACAGAGGCTTTAAAGGGAAAAAAGAGATATTCTATAAATAAAAATGTGTTCTCTAAAAATAACAGGTTATACAGTAGAATACGTGTAACTGATGAGATTGCTGAAGACGTAGAGGTTGGAGTCACAGAAATCACACAGCATGTCAATGGGAGACAGCTTGTACAGTGAAAGAAGTTCTGAGATATGCAGGATAGACAGAGAAAAGCCGGCATACATGTATAGGAATGACAAAAGGCAATTATAGAAAGAATAGAGGATATTCAATATTTTGAAAAATGATGGGCCAACTAAAATGCCATATAAAATATAAACTTAGAAAGAATAGTACTATGAACCTCCACATGCACATCACTTGGCTCTAACAGTTACTCAGTTAGCCCATCTTAGTTCGTTTCCAAAGCTTTCGCTCACTACTCCCCAGTCATAAATAACAAATCTTGAACCACAAATTATGTCATTTAGAAAAGACTCAGAATATATCTCTTAAAGTTGAAAACTCACAAAAACATAACCACAGTAATATTATTAATTTTTAAAATCATTTTTTAGCATCAGACACTAAAAGATTTTTTTCTCATTACCCTACAACTTTCTTTACAATTGGCCTTCTACTATTTATTTGGGCAGGTTTTTCTTTTCTATTTTGTTGTTGTTGTAGGAATCATTCAGTCCTCTGGAAATGTTTATATTTACTATTGTTCTAATTACAGAGCTGTGGCTTTGATGTATTCTTGTACTCCTGTGTGACTCTGTATTAATAGGTAGATGGAGATGGAAGTTTGATCAGATTGTGGTTAGATTTTCATTAAGAAATTTGAGAACAGGGTGCAAAGTTCCTGTTCAATTTGACCATTAGGCATATAAGGTTTGCTTGTCCTCTGTATGATTTTAAATTAAGCAAGATCAGATGTTATTAACCTTAGCATAAAATCCCTTGTGTTTTCTCACTTAATGATTTTTAACAGGCCTTGATCTTCATTGTTTATATGCTTTACTTGAGTAATTTTTAACAAAATGATGATACTATAATTCCTTCCATATTTATCAACAGAAATTTGTTAGCATTCCCATTTTTATACATTTTGGACCTAGCATTTTCTCATCTTTGTGCACAATGAAGCAATAACAGGGGTATAGTTAAATAAATAGGAACAGACAGGCCCAGAAAACCAGCTCCTGGACTGTCAATTTGAAAGTACATCTTGTCCTTTCTGCGGAACTGGAGGTGGCAGAGGTAGACATTGATGGCGCTCACACAAAGACTGACTGATCATCATAAGTACATAGTTAAGCAAGCAACAAGAAACAGCTAACTACCGAGGACAAAGCACTACATGAATGAGAGCTGCCAAATGTCATCAGATGATCTGACAACCAGAGAAATACTGTCTATAACACAAGAATAAAAGCCTTTAGAATGAGGAAAATTAATGTTCTCAGAAGGATATGAGAAA